TTTACGCGTCATGATAAGTAGAACAGTTTTGCGATGTTGAATATTATAAAACTTTTACAAACTCATCCGTTAGAATCAAAGTCGAAAGAATAGATAAATGTTGTGCAGCTAGTAAACGATAACAGCAGCCAACCTCAAGCAGCGCCCGGATAGCCAGTTTCACAGTCTCCTGGCCTGAAGTCTCCTTGATGTTTTTTTCAAGGAATTCCCTCATGGAATTGGAATTCCTCCCAGTGGCGTTGGCCTTCCACGCCAAGAAAGTCCCCGAAGGATCAGTCTGATACAGAGCAGGCTCGCCAGTTTAAGGATCAAATCCCACAATAAGCGTCGAGAGGCCAAACGGCCCGACACCTCCACTCTGAGTATACTTCTGCTGCACACCAGCGATACAGCGGGTAATAGTTTTCCGGAGCGCCTTATAATTTCCTGAGATAAGAGGGCCATTTTGTTAAATTTAATTGAATTTTTTGTTTACACAGCACATAATTATATATCTAACATATGAATTTTCATATTTATATTTATTATATTTTATCGTAACAAAAAATTTGTATAAAACATATTTTTCATTATTAAAAATAAATAATGTTGATATTTTAATATGAAGTTAAAATTAAAATTTAAAATTTTATATATGTAAAAGTTAGATGATATATAAATACATAAAAATTGCTTTGTATGTAAATGCTCATTTTCTTATTTTACTTAACTCAATTTTAGGGTTAAAGAAAATTATAAATAAATATGTATACACCAAAAAATGATCTACTTAGATCTTGAAGCAGTTTGAGGGATTAAATCAAAAGTTGAAATTTACAGCTAAAGAACTCTGGGACGATCAGGTGGCATAAAGGTCAACCGACCAAAGACTAGCTTGGGCAACCAACAGCAGACAAACATATGTTGGAAAATATGAGGGCCCGTGATTTTTCAATCAGTTAACTAGAACTCGACCTTATATTTGGCCAGCCATCCTTGACTGTCCATCAGCAAAAGAGCGATCGACCAGTTATGGCTGGTCATCTTCTTGTGTTAGACTGATCATCCCAGCCCTTGCTTTAAAATGAACATCTAAAATGTGTCGACACGAATCGCAAAGGCATCTCGGGAATGGTCAAAAAGGCAACGTAGCCCCACGGGACCTACCATGGACGACTTATGACCACATCCTTAGCCGATCAGTCCCCCGTGCGCTGGGAAGACAGTGTGCCTCAGACGAATAAGGAGTAGATCACCACCGAAAGAACCCATCTGACCAGATCCACTTGGATTAATCTGGAGCCTTTCACCCGGACAGACCGAGAAAGTAAAACATATCATCCAGTTCTTGAGCGGTTGACGTGAACGCTCAGCAAGCGACCGCCCAACCTCACAGCCGCCTGCTCTCACAACCGCCGACAACATTCATGAGCCCCACAAACCATATTTATGTACAGACTGAAGTACCTTAGTTTTACTTATGACTCATTCCTATAAAAAGTGGGTTCATTTCATGAATAAAGTTGGATGGAAATTTATTATTAATTATTGTGCTATGGCTCTCCCCCCTCTCTCTCTCCCATCCCTCATTGCTTTATTCTCATGTTTTCGGGACAGATTTGGATTCAACAAAACGACCTACATTAATTAGAAGAAAATTATAAAAGAAACTTGAAATAATTAATCACATGTTTAAACACATATCAAATAAATATGATATTTTTTTATTTATTTTAATTAATTATTAATCCAAAAATAGTGTTTTAAGGCTAAATTTGAGGTTTGACACTTGTTAAAACCAATTCTACAAAATTTAAATTGAAATTTTAAATATTTCTCGCTACCTATTAATATTTTTTGCAGTAATAAGAATCATCACTATAATAAGAATTTAAATTTGAATAAACCCTAAAGAAGTATTAAATGAGATTTTATATATATATTTATATATTTATATATTTGTTAACAACGAGCATAATTCAACTACTCATCAAATATTTATATTTTACACAATGCAATCAAATATTAAAGGACCTCAATGAGCATAATTCAAGAGTTGTGTTGTGTTTTTCCCATGAGTTCTGAGTAGTTTTCTCTGTCTTCCTCCTTATCTCGAGATTTGTGAAATGGTGATTTGAATTGGTGAAGCCATGAAAATATTTAAGAAATTTTGATGATCTTTTCACTTCGATCTTAATTTACTTTCAATCTGGTCAATTGATTTGTTAAAATATGTTGAATTTTACAACTAAAGTGAAGATTACATCCAAGATTCAGGGAGGTGAAAGCCCTTGGAAGTTGGGTGCAAATAAATAGGAAAATATTACTATC